TCCAACTAGAATGTAACTTCTTTGAGAGTAAAGACCGCTGTGTCTCTGGTGCCTAGAACAGTGTGTAGTGCACAGTAGGCTCTCTACAGATAATTTGTCAACTAAAGGAATATATGAATCTGGGCTCTGAAGATCATGAAGAAGAAACTACCATGTTGTTGTTAAGTGCTGTCGAGTCGGTTCCGACCCATAGCGACCCTGTACAGGGTTTCCAAGGCTGTAATACTTGACGGGAGTAGAAAGCCTCATCTTTCTCCCATGGCGTAACAGCCGGTAGTTTCGAATTCCTGACCTTGAGGTTTGCAGCCGAATTCGTAACCACTTGCTGTTGAGTTGGTTGTGACTCATAACAATTCTGTGTAGGGTTTCTGAGGAGCAGCTGGTGAGATTGAACCACTGACCTTGTGGATAGCAGTCCAATATGTATCCTATAGCACCACAGCAGGACTCTAGATAATCTGAGTCCTCATCCCCTGCTGGAAGAATTAAGGAAAATAAACACACACACACACACACACACATATACAAGGAGCTCTGGTAGCGTAGTGGTTACGCATTGGGCTGCAAACCGTAAGGTTAGCAGTTCGAAACTGCCAGCTGCTCTGCGGGAGAAAGATGAGGCTTTCTGCTCACGTAAAGATTTACAATCTTGGAAACCCTGTACATGGTTGCTATGATTCGGAACTGACTCCATGGCACATAACAACAACAACAATATATATATACATATACATGTAGATTTTTGTTCTTATGTGCTGTGGAGTCAGTTCCGACTCATAGCAACCCTGTTTAGGGTTTCCGAGGCTGTAAATCTTTCTGGGAGCATTTTTTTTTTTTTTTTTTTTCAAACTTTTTAAACGAATTCAAGTGGTGAATTCGTTTAAAAATAAGAGAAAGAAACACTGTTATGTCAGGAGCAAGATACCTACTGCATGTAGATTTGGATAGAGAGAATTTCTATATTCAAATCCTGGCCAATTTCAAGTTGGAACTCCTCTGATTTTCAGTGCATCATTATAATTATTAGGATCTAAAGTTCTCTTGCTATAATAGATTAGTTATAATATGGGTGAAGAAGGCTTTTGGCTGTTTGAGCCCTGGTGTGGTGCTGTAGGATAAGCACTGGACTGCTAACTAACGGTAAGGTTGGTGATTCAGACCTACCAGCTCTGCCTTGGAAACCCTGTATAGGGTCATATGAATCATAACCTACTTGATGGCACTAAACAACAACAGCAATTACCCAATTCACTTCAATGAACAATTGTGGTTTTGTTCTGTTTCAGGTACTCTCTAGGTATTGAGGATAAATAAAATAATTCCTGTCCTAGAAATATGCAGTCATAGAAAGATATTAAATGTAGATTGTAATACAGTGTAATGGCTAGTAGCTGTAAAAGTAGTTATCCAGATAATGGTCCAATTCAGAAATGATAAGGATGGAGAGAGAAATTCATATCTGTAGAACCCTGCCTATGCATTGCTTCCTTGTATTTTACACATATTTCTATTATTATTCATAGAATCCTTTGCTACTGTGAAGCTTTAGCATGTCTCCTTATAGATGTAAGTTAACACAAATGCTGAAATTATGTCTTGCCTTTATTTTTACAAGGACTTGCACATTTTGGTGTTTAGTAAGTTTTTTCGTTGTACAAAAGAATAAAGTGGCATTTCTTCTAGGCTTTAGATAATTGTTTAGGATAAACCATTCTTCTAGGCTTTAGAAAATTGTTTATCCTAAACAATTTTCTAGGCCTGGGAGTGGAGAGGACAGTTTTTTCAGACATGGGGAGAACCATTTAGAGTGGTCATATAGTCTCTTAAAATCCATGGTCTATTTTGAACAAAATAAATTTTCTGCTATGGCTCCAGTTTAGTTCTTCAGAGAAGTGACAGTAAGTGAAAATGAGAACGGAGCTTAAAGTCAGTTTGTAAAGGGCATGTGTGCCACGAGAAGACTGACTTGTCTATTTGTAGGCAGTTACAAATGCCTACATGTTTATAATATTAATGCTGACTGTAGGGTGGTTGCCTTATTGTGCCAGAACCTGCAAGGAGCTCCATGTTAGGACCTGCACTAGGACAGGGGAACAGCAAAAGGGCCTCACCTGAAATAGTTTTCAAACAGAAAGTTTATTAAGCTTTTCTTTTTGTTGTTAAATGCCATCAAGTTGGTTCCAACTCCTAGCAACCCTGTATAGGGTTTCTGAGGAGCAGCTGGTGGATTTGAACTGCTGACCTTGTGGTTCGCAGTTCAGTTTTTATCCAGTGCCACACCAGAATGCCTGTTAAGCTTGTAGAACCATAAATTTTAGGTATTTCATACTATTATAGGAATTAGATAAACATATTAGATGTATTTAAGAAAAAATTATAATGTGGCAGGTACTGTTCTAAACATATGTATCACTTCATTGAATTCACATAACAAACCTATGAAATAGATTTTACTGATATCCTCATTTTATAACAAAACAACAACAATCAAAAACAGGCATAGAGGGTTAACTTGTTCACATCAATACGTAAATTAATAAAGACACTGATAAGCAGCACAGCTGTTATTAACAGTTTGACTCCAGAGCCTGCACTTTTGACTGATACCCTGATATAGTTGAGCCACAAGGACAGAGGTCATCAAAAATACAGACAGACTGACAATCCCGAGAGTGGAAGGGCAGGGCCATAGAAGCTGAACTGATGAAAGAAGATCTTGGGAACAAGGAGACACACTTCTCTTTTATTTCTAAAAACACATTCCACTTCCACTCATTTGAAGAAGAAATACCTGTTTTTACCCTTCCTTTTGGAGTAATTCTTGGCTAGTTATTTTCTGTTATCTGTCTCAGTTGCCTTATCTATAAAATTAGAACCATGATAGTGTCTGCCTCAGAATTGTTGTGAAGAGCAAATGATGCTTGACACACTGTGATGTTAATTGTCATCAAGTCCATTCCAACTCCTTGCAGCAACCCCATTGAACTACTA